CTGCGCAGCCCAGGGTACTTTACCACTCCTTGTGCTTTTCCTACGTCCTGCTCATCTTTCTGTACACTCCCTTTTATAAAGCCCTGCTTGAAAGCGTAATTTGAGTTCACTGTTACCTGCCAAGACCCTGCGATCAAACGTGTCTGCAAAGTGAGTGGAAATTAGCTGTGCCTGTCACAAGTGAGCATATTGATTCTTTGTGATTGCTGCTTGTGTTTCTAAGGGTTCACAAACCATTCCTCTGACTTATTTCTTCTATACTCTTATAGAGCGTAAAAGTCAAATGTAGCAGCCTGCAGTTTTGGGAACAGACTTTTATAAACAACCCACTCATCTCAGCATTTACTGGGCTCTGTTCTTTAGGATCTTCTATTATCTAAAGTGCCCTAGAGGTTGGGTCATTCCATCCTGTTAGTGTTTGAGGCAGAACAGCACAATTCTGCTGTGGCCACAATCTTCAACACTCAGTGGCTTAAACTAGAGACAGTTTTATTTTTTTATATTTTTGCTACCTGTCTATCATGGGTTGGCAGAGGCTCTACTCATGGCAAACACTCAGGGACCCCAAAACTCAGATGATGCTGGGGGAGCTCTTCATGGACAATTAAATGCTTGGTCTGAAAGAGATGCCAACTTCTTCTGAGGTTGTTTTGACCCAGGGCCTTCATGTGTAGCCTGGACTGGTGTCAAACTGCCTCAGCTTCCTGAGACCTGAGATGATACCAAAATCTTCATGTGGACTCATCCCTCATAGGGAGCTAGGAAGGTAATCTATGGAATGCCTAGGGCGTGCCTGTTCCTTTTGGAGGAATGTAGGGAGACTTCAGATCTGTCTTCATCTTCCCAACTGGGTCACAAGCTCTGTTGAGGAAGAGTTTGTATGCTGCTTTTTTCTAATGTATGTCTGGATCCAAATCATGAGGTCACCACTTGAAGGGCTACACACGACTGTTTGAAGGGTGAAGAGCACAGTTGCTATGGTTTGTATGTGTGTATTTTATTTTTTATTTATGTTTTTAAAATAGTGGAGCACTTCACAAATTTGCATGTCATCCTTTTGCAGGGGCCATTCTAATCTCTGTATTGTTCCAATTTTAGTATATGTACTGCCAAAATGAGGACATGTATATATTTTAATGTCAGTGGTAAGCACTAGTTCTTCCTATATAGTAAAGTCTATAAGAGATAAAACCATAACTTAAAAGGAAAAATGTGTCTTCTGTATGTGCCAGTGGTACTATCAAGTTTGTTTTGAAATAAGTATTCAAATTGTGTTAGAACCAACACAATACCTGGTACATATTAGACTCACCATTTGTTAAATGAATAAATGATTATCTTCATTTCCCTTATCCCCTTTACCTCATCTCATGATGCCAGGCAGCAGAGAACTTAGGTTTGCTTTAGACATGGTGCATATGGAGGAGCTGAGCTATGTGGAAGATGACGCAAATAAGATGAAATGACAAGGGTTCTTACTAAAATACAAAAACAGTGGGACCTACCTCAGAGGGGCTTTTCACTGGGCAAAGAGGAGATCATACAGGTCAAACCTGCTATTTATTGACCATTTTGACCTCATCTATATACTGTAACCTCGAATGTCCCAGGCCTTGACGGCCCAAGTGTAAAATTCAATTGAATTAACATTCAATCTCACGTTTTGAGGGTTGTGGGTCCCATCTGCTTACAAGGAGCTCCAGGTGCTCAGCGTTGTCCCCAGGTCTTCCAGCCACCTGTGCTCATCGTGTATCCATTCCTGCTTTTTCACTCCTCCAGCAAGCCCTCCTACCCTTGCTTGGAGTGCCTTGGCTTTACTATGCTGCTCTGCCAGGTGCAGCTGTCTGTCGTGTTGGTGGCCCTCAGAGCCCTGCATGGCCCCCTCAGCCCAGTGTCATGTGAAACTTCTCTCTCCAACTCTGTCACACTGGGTCGCCTGGCTCTGATGCAATGCACAGGCCTTCACAGAGCGTGTCCTTGTCTTCTCACACTGTCTCCACCTGCCCTGCTCTCGCTGTGCTCCCCATCCTAAGCCAACTTCTCATGCCCCCTGGGATGGCTCAAAATCAGCCCCACAAACTGGGCCAGAGATCTGTTGACATTTTCTTCTCCCTTCTGGGTCCTCATCTTCTCCTTTGCTCCCTGGGGACCTCAGTCCCCACCCCCCACAGCCTTTTAGGATTATTTGGGCAGAGCATTAGCTGATTGAATTAGGTAGTAGCTGCATACCCAGCCAAGCAGTCCAGTCCACTTTCAGTGTTCCATTTAACCCTGCAAACTAAGCCATTCTTGTACCAAGAGGTCACTAACACTGCCCAAGATAAAACAGGAAGCCAGTAGAGGAGCCAGAATTGAAACCCTTGCCTGCCTTTGCCCTTCCCCTGCTACCACACACTGCTGTTGCAAAGCCACGTTGGACCATTTTAAGATAAAAATAAAATCCAGAAACTAGCTGTTTCAAGACAAGATGTTTCAGTTCCCTCTCTCCCAGTTTGTTCATCCCTGTGATTTCTTTTCTCTAAACGGCCACCACCCTTTGGAACCTGTGCATCATTCTCCAGTCTGCAACTTCCCTCACCCCTCAGCAAGTCCTGTGTGTGCTACTTGCAAAATGTAGCTCAGATCTAGCTCACCATATTGTCACTGCCTAAGCCCTTCCCCAGTCTGGCCCACTCTCATCTCTGTCCTGGTCTACCACTAGTGACCTATAACTGGCTTGCACGCTTCCAGGGTGAGGCCCTTCCACTCCCCAAACAAATGGCCTGTTATTGGATCTCAGCCCATGCAGGCCTCCCTGTGTGTTGATCCCATTTCAGAATATTCATGAGCGTGTTTCTCCAGCTGCCCCCGGGCTCCCTGAGTTCCTTTCTGGACTGTGAGGGCCTCTTCCCTGCTTGATCTGGACAGCTACAGAGATGCCCCTACTGTGGAACTGAAAACAGATCCGCAGGTATTTAAGTGTAAGCAAAGAAAATGTTGCTGCTCTAAGCACAAGACTGAGTATTCCAGTGCAAACTTGCAGAGTGGTTTTTGATTCTTTTCCATGAGGTTGGTTACAAAGAGACCAAGTCCTGCCCTGGGGAGCAAACAGAGGCAACGACAGATGGAAACCCTGGCAACCAGTGTGGACCCATCCCTTTTCTAAGGCCAGGCTTGCTTAGTCACTGTCTAGGGTATGTGCGGACAAGGGAGGCTTGAGCAGGGCAGGGAGCACGAAGGGGAATGCTTGTCCTGGCCAAGGGAGGGCAGGTGGAACTAATTTGTAAATGCCACTGATTTGGGTCAGGGGTGAAACAGCTCTGCTATCACATTTGTGAGATTGTTTGATTAATGCCAGTCTCCTCAACTAGCTTGGGCCCTGGCTTCATGAAGATAGGACTGGGTCTGGTTTTTGCAGTTTGTGTTGACTTACTGTGGTGTCATACGTATGGTAGGTGCTCTGTGAATACCCGTGGAATGAACAAACTGTATGTATATAAATGTATTATATGTATATAGATATGTATTATATATGTGCACATACACACAAAGGATAAATATTCAAAGCACAATAGATATGGATAGCCATATGTGTATGTTCATTTGTGTATACACTGATATGCAGAAGGATGAAGTTTCAATTTGGTGCATGCTCACATTCAGAGAAAAGAGTACATAATAAAACATCAGAGGGCAGACTGTTCAGGACCATCCTGAGAGGTATGGGGATCACCACATTGGGGTCTTGCAGCTGGGGAGAGACTGAGCTCAACCCTGAACATGGGCACAGGCAAGTGGGAATTTACAGCTGAGGAGCATGGTGTGGGGGGGTGTCAACGAATGAAAATTATTATCAGAGAACCTCAGGGGTAAGGGGGATTCTGGCTAAACTGCCCTAGTAGGATTCTTTCTGGAGCCAGACCAGAGTGCTCAGACATCCTGGGGGTGTATGGTGAGGAGCCTGATCAGATATGGAGTGTGATCAATATCAAGGATAGGGGTTCTGCTCAACTGGGCCAGCAGCACTCTGATAACACTACATCTCACAGGAACAGCACAGATGGGCGAGGAGAAGGTTCAGAAGGCTGACTAAAGTTTGGCTAACCAAAGAATGTTAGACACCACACTTGTTTTCAAATGTAACACCAACCATCAGAATTGTACTAAAAGACAGAAAGGACAAACCCAATAAAGCCCTCGGTTCTAGACATGAAGTCCTTGCTTCCTTTGTCCTGGCTGGGGAGGCTTCAAAGTAGGAATTGTCTGTTGGATGAGCATGTGCTCCCACCCTCTGGGGTTTGATCAGAGTTGGGGAGTGTGTGTGATCTAAAAGTACCATTGCTGGGTTGGGGTGTAGCTTGGTGGAAGAGCACTTGCCTAATGTGTGTAAGCTCTTGGGTTCCATCCCAGCACAGTTAAAAAAAAAAAAAAATCATTGCAATGATTTTTTTTTTTTTAGCCAGTTTAAAATTTCAAATTACCTTAGAAGAAGAGGACATGAGATTTTTATGTTTAACAGAAGAGGACAGAACTTTAAAAACAGTTGGAAAAAAATAAGATTCTGGAGGAAACTGGCAAGTACCGCAGGAAGGGCTTGTCTTGTAAATATGTTGTTATGATCATTTAAAAAAAAAAAAAATCTCTATTTGGTGCTGGTGCTGGCTGAGAGGCCCGATCTTTCTAACATGAATAAAGAAGCCCTTTTGTCGTAGTTATTTTCTTCCTTGCTGAGATAATACCTGGTGCTTGCAACTTTAATGAGAAAAGGTTCATTTGGGGTCACGGTGTGTAGAGGTCTCAGTCCCTAGTCGGTCAGCGCCAGGGCATGATGGCCTGACAGAGAGGCATAGTGAAGGAGAGCTGTTCGCAGTAGGGTGGTGTGGTAGACAGGCAGCAGATGTCAAGGGAGGATCTGGGAAGAGAAGGGAGATAAACCCTTCCAGACCACGCCCCAGCGGCCCCTTCTTCTGCCGGGTCCCACCTCCGAACAGTGAGTCAGCTGTGAGTCCCCATAACCCAATCACCGACCGAAAGCCCTGCCTATGATCTCGTGAGGTCCTCGGGAGACATCTAGGTAGAAACCATGACACTTTGGAAGGGAGGTAAGTATCTCCCTTTCTCCTCTGTGTAGATCAGGGTGAGTTTGTACGCCAGGACTTCATGGTACACACAGACTAATAATGCAGATGAAAAAAAGATTGGTGTGGAGCCTGGGAGAGAGCAGATTTAGGGCAGAGGAAAGAAGGAAGAGTGGAGGGGAATGCAGTGCTTTATAGTGGCAGGATTTCGGAAACCTCAGCAAAGAGACATGAAAAGCAGGATGTTCCTATGATGAAAGTGAATTTATCGGGGTTACGTGGGTTTTAGAAACACCACATCCCAAGTCTGGTCTGGTGGCATGTCCTTCCAGTCCCAGTTACTCTGGAGGCTGAGATAGGTGGATTACTTGAGCCCAGGAGTTTGAGACCAATCTGGGCAACACAGTGATACCCTGTCTCCCAATATAAACAAATAAATGCATTTTGATTTAAATTAACAAACATTAAAATAATATGTAAAAAGCCATCACGTTCCAAAACAAACCCATTTGGCTTAGTCCTTTACTTGCCAGGGTAGTGAAAAACCAGTGCCGACCATTGTGTGTGCCTGTGTGTGTGTACATGTGTGCACCCGTGTGTGTGTAAGCCTTTCCTGACAGTGACCGTGCAAGTGTTACAGTTAAATGGTCAAAAAGTAGTCCAGGTTCTTGTGCATGGCAAGGAAAGAATCGCCAAGCAGGCACCCCATAGTAAGTAGTAAGTAGCTACATCTATTGAGGATCACAGAACAGTAACCAGAACAGGCAGAAGGGCAAAAGGAAAAAGGAGGAAGAGGAACTCTGAGTGAGTCAGGTTCAACTGCTGCTGGTGGTGGAGAAGCTCTCAGGGAAGGAGCTGGTGGTGGTGATGGTGTGTGACTGGGCACCCACCCAGCTAGCTGGCTCATGGGCTCTTGGGCTCCGGGCTCTGGGCTCCGGGCTGTGCTGGGCCCCCCTGAGGAGTGGGTGGAAGAGGAGCCCTCGATGAGTACCTGCACAACTCAGGCTTCGAGTACTTAAAGGGTCAGACCCCTCTAAATTCAGCTGCTTCCCATTGTGGTTAGACACCTGTGGCTCCAGGCATCTCCCTCAGCATCACAATTTCCTAAATTTAAACTTGGATAATCACCAGGGTAGTGTGGTGCCCAGTGTTGAATGAAGGGAAGGGTGTTCTCACTCAGCTCCTCTGTTTCTAATTGTATCACAGGGGCCCTGGGTGGTGGCTCCTGGGAACCCCGAAGAGAAGGCTCTGCACGTGAATGCAGCTCTTGTCCCTGCTCACTGTGCCCAGGGCATCCATGCAGAAGCTGTTACACAAGCTGGAACACAGAGGTCTTTGTCAAGGTTCCAGAGCCCTTGGTGACTGGTGCTGTGTCCTTAGCTTTCTGTTTGGATTCCCTAATTTTTTGTTGCTCATCTTCTATGACTCCCCTGTAACCCTCATTCTTCTAGTTGTGCTTCAGTTCCCCCAGTTTTAGGGAACAAGCATGTGACCTGCCAATTAGGGTTTTGTTGTTGTTGTTGTTGCTTTGTCTTTTTAAGACACGGTTTTGCTGTGGAGTTCAGGCTGGCCTTGAACTCATTTTGTATCCTAGGCTAGCCTCAACCTCTGGAGTGCTGGGATCACAGGCATGCATCACCATGCCCAATTGACTGGCCAATTAGACTACTGTATTGAAAGGGGAAAACTATACAAGAGAAATTGTTCTTTTTAAAACTTTGTGCTTTTGAAATTGCCTAGCTCTGTAACTGCTTCATTGCTTTGTAATTACTTTCTTGACCCCTGTAATCATGAAAGCATAACTGAACATGCAGGGTGTGTCATTGTACCATTGTATCAATCTTCATAAACTGGTGATCTTTAATCTACCCTTGTAACTGATGACCTCACCCTGCTAGCTAATCAGAAGAACTTTCAGGCTGTTCTGTTTTGCCTTTGTACTTCCTCTGTACCTCCTCCTTGTGTGTCATATAAAAGCCCTAGGCCACCAGAAATCAGGGCCTGTTATCTTGGGTATGATCCTGATCAGTGCCTGTTGATGTAAATACGTCTGCCTCCAAATCCTGCGTGTCATTTCAGTGTTTCTGCTTGCTGTTGCAGTAGCTCATAGCTGGGGGCATTGGATCAGTAATTGATGTGTTATTCTACTGAGGAGTCAGTGGGGATTTTTTGTTCTGTTTTTAATTTTTTTCTTTTTTTGGTTTGAGCCAGCTGTTGGGGCCACTACATGGTTTGGATATGAAATGTCCCCCAAAAGCTCATGTGTTGAAGGCTTGGTCTCCAGCTGATGATGCTCTTGGGAGATAGTGGAGACTTTATGAGGCAGGACCTAGTTGGAAGGAAGTTAGGCTACTGGGGGCCATGTGCTCAAAGGGGATATTGAAATACTGGTCCGTCCTCTCCTTCTCTTCTGGTGGCAATGAGCTGAAGAGCTTTACTCCACCATGCTTACTCCACGACATGATGTCCTGCTTTATCAATGATCCAGTCTTTCACAATGATCCAACCTACTGTGGACTGAAACCTCTGAAATCACGAGCCAGAATAAATCCTTTTAAATTGATGACCTCAGGTATTCTGTCACAGTAACAGAAAACTGACTAACACATAGATAAATGAATCCTGTCTTGGTCACTATTTTTGTGGCTGAGACCACGTGCATGACACCAAAAGTTAAATGAGGAAAGGTTTATTTTGACTTACAGTTTGTAGAGTTTTCAGTCCATCGTTGCCTGGCTCCAAGGCAGGGTGGCATGGCAGAAGGCATCAAAGAGGACAAATAATCCATGGCAGAGCAGGACAGGCAGAAGGCAGCAAAGCAGGGAAGCAACAAATCAGCTTTTTCTCTGTTCCTTATCGTCCATCCAGGCTACTTTTCCTTGGTGGGGCAATATTAATCCCAGAATCACACACCCTAGTTCCAGCCACCTTTGAAAAACTCCACCTATGACCACATGAGGCTTTGGCAGGGACGTCTAGATACAAGCCATAACAGATCCTAACAATAAATCTGACAGCAGGAAACTCAACTTTGGGGTGCATAAAATTAGTTCTCATTATATCCTTCGAACCACTGGATCAAGCCATACCTGATATTAGTTACCTTTGGACTTTCCAGTAACACAAACCAATAAATCGCCCAAATTCCTGTCTTGTTTTTCTCCCTTAAACATGTTCGGATCTGTGTTCTGTCACCTGTGATAGAAACATTCTTAACGGATTCTGACTCCCGGCTCCTGGAGACTTTATGTGAGGAAAGATCATGACAGTTGATGAATCCGGCATCTCCATCTATTGCTCAAGTCTGAAAGAACATACTTCTTTTCTGGGTTGGCTGTTTTCTTTTAATGCCAACGGTTGGAGTACTTTTTCACTCTGCATCAATCCAGCTCTATAGGTCCAATGTGACCAGGGCTTTGAAAACAGAAGTCTGTAATTTCTACCATAAAGCAAAGGTCACTTAGATCTCTAGAAGACAAATGCTTAGCTGTTCTTCCAGTAAGGGGAAGGGACATTTGACCTTTTCAATTGCCTATTCTTGGGGAAGTAAGCTAGAATAACTATCTTAATAAGCTACCTGTTAATTAAAGCTTTGTAAAGAAAAGTCACCCAAAACCTTCTAATAGACTCCTTGATAACTGAGTCCCTCTCGTGCATGTGTGAAGCACCATATAGGTGGATGGCAATGCAAGGGAAAAGGCACATGGCCCAGCCTTCCTAACTAGTGGGCTTGTGTGCACTGCCCATTGGAAAGGCTGGGTGGTCAGACCTAAACCCACGTGACAGATAGATTGCAAACTGAAACACCCCCAGAGGCCAGGTAGGTAACAGAACTAGTGAACTGGGGCGGGGGTGGGATGTGGAGGAGCAGGGGGAGTAGTGGGGACTACTGTGACAAGGAGAGACTGGGTCGGTGAAGGGCAGCCACTGCTCAGCTCAGAATGTGATCCCAGTGTGACTCCCATTTAAGGGAAGCTCAGATCTCGCCAGTTCTAAATGTTGGCAAGTTCTAATCAACAAACAGAAACGACAGAAGCAGTACTGCCAAGCTAAACAAAACACAAGCAGGCCAGGTCAGTGTTTGTAAAACCTCTGCTACACAGTCTATAATTATTTATCCATTTTCCTCCATAGTGTGTCTGCTTATAAATTTGTGAATAGTGTGGTCAGGTTATTTCTAAAACTTTGTTTTCTTTTTCTTTGCTTACATCCAAGATCAGTTGTGTCTCTCAGGTGTCACAGTCTTTAGAAACTAGATTGCTCCAGTGTCACGTGCTATGGGAGGGCTGCTTGGCTTGGGGCATGCTGGGTGCCGGGTGTTCCTGTCCCTCTCTTTAAATAGAAGGTCCTTGTCTTAGCCACTTTCTGGACTCTGAGACACAATACCTGACACTTGCAACAGAAGAAACGTTTATTTTGGCTCACAATTGGTAGTCTCTAGCGGCCAGCTCCAAGTCAGGAAAGGACGGTGTAAGGATCTGGCAGAGGAGAGCTTCACACATTGTGGTAACTAGGAAACAGAGAAAAGGGAGGAGCCGGGGAGGGAGAGACAACTTTCTGGGTCACACCTCCCAGCAACCCACCTCTTCCGACCAGGCCCCACCTTCCAGCACCAAGCCAGACAGCCTAGCACCTCCTTAACCCATCCCCTCCCACAGGCCTCACCTGTGAGCACATGTGGCTTTGGGGATATCCTGATATGAACCCTAACAGCCCTGCTCTGCCTTGCCTTTGGACAGCAACGGCTCCTGCTCTTTGTCCACATGGTTTGGGTGGGGCTGGGTCAGCCCTGGAATCCAGGGTCAGCCCACGCCAGCCAGGCCATTCAAAGACTTCACCCTTGGACCACAGCAGATTGGGGCGAGGTTGGAGTGCATGCCCATGAGCCACGCCAGTGAGACAATTCCTGTGTTTGATTTTGTTTTGGCAAAAATTACTGAAAAGGGAAACTTTTTCCTCTAAGGTTGTTTGCTGACTCTAAGAAATTTGAATCTGGAGAATCCAAGCGCCATCCGTGGGTAAAG